AATATAGGGAATATCGGATCGGTCTCCAAAAAGTGGTATCGGTACACCCCTAATTATAATTTTAGATGCTTGACAAAATTAGATAACGAGTTCACAGAGCTACTTAAAGATTTGTGGCATTCTTTACATTCTGCAGTAATTTTATTATTTTACTTAATTTAAATTTATAATTATATACCTCTGTAGGAGAATCATTTGAGGAAGATAAAGATATTATTCTATCTTAATCTTCAATCATGATTTTAAAATAGATGAATATAAAACGATTAAAATAAAATATGGTAGTTATTTGTAAATGACGATCAACGTCATATATCATACATTATCTTAAAATATCTAAAATCAGTTTAAATTTTTCATTAAAATTTTAAAATAATATTATTTTAAATTTTAATACTATTTAAATTATAAATTTATATATATATACAAATATCCGCGATACAGCCCAACCCTGGAATATAGGTTAAAAAAATATCAAAATCTTTATAATAATTTTATGCTAATTAAAACGTTAAAATAAATTATATTAAATACTAATATGTCGTTTGCCTAGAATTGGAGTGCTCCACTTGCGCAAATGTTTAAAATGAGAAAATCAACATTAAAGTTTAAAATCAAATATAGGAAAACCTTATTGATCAATTTTGACAGAGTTATTACTTTGACAAAAAATAATATTTTTTAATCTAGTTTTTATTCTTATATATATATTGGAAATAAATAAGTTATTATCCACTTCTAATTCAAAAATTTTGGAAATGTCGAGTAGAGCACTCCAATTCTAGACCGACGATATATAAAAAATATTTTAATAAAAACCAAAAAATTTTACATTTGTCTTTAAAGTTCTCGAATACTTCTTAATATTGAAAAAATTCATATCTATTATTTACAATTTACTAGGTATAGATAATATATATGTTAATGTTTACAATTAGATGTTATATAAAATTTTGCATTTACTTCTATTTCTCAATCTATAATTTAACCCAAAATTATACTAGGATATTAAAAATATAAAAAAAATTGTTATATTAAGTTTATTAAAACATTAGTAAAAATTACAAAAAAATATTAATATGTATAAATTTTGTAAAACATTAATTTAAAAACTAAAACCAAAAACCTTTGCCTTTAAGGTTCACAAATACTTAGTATTGAATTATTATCTTTAATTCACAAAAGAAAAATATATACTCCATCAAATTTGACTGTTTCATAAATATCATTTTAAGTTTATAAAAATTTTACCCCCCCCCCCTTTCTTCCCCTATCCAATTAAAAATTAATAATTTTTTTTTACTTGGTTCATTGATTTGGCGGAAGATTAATATGATTAGGTTCAGCAACTTGGCAATTATTGAGATGTAATATAAATGTTGACTCAACTGAAGAATACTATAAAATATCTAATCCCATTCTTAGATACTCTTTAATAGCATATAAAAGTATGGTTTATAGGTAAAAAAAACAAGTCTTTAGCAATCTTCAAAATTTATAAAAAAAGACCCTTTTTCGTTTTCTGATGCCACTATTTTTAAAACTAAATATTTAGCAAAATTTTATTCTTATGTTATTGATACTAAAATCAATTTGATCATAGAATTCGAATTGTTATATAATTACTACGGTTGGTTATAGTGTTGTTAAATAACCCGATTTGGTTTGGGTAATTTTTAAAAATGGCTCGAATAAGATTTTAGCCAAATAATTTTGTATAAGCCTCAAGATTTGGTAAGTAGAAGCCTATAGCCTTTCTTTCTGCCGTTTATAAGCAAAATTAATCAGGCTTACACAATATAATTTTGGTTATAATCTTAATCCGGATGTTTTTCAAAATGGACCCGAATTTGGCTTTTAAACAACACTAGTTTGTTATTCAATCGGTGTAAAAAATCCTTGGAATTTCCAAATATTTTAAAGTTGTTTTATATTATTGCATGTTTGCCTATTACAACATGTAAGAATAAAAGAACCTCTTCCAACTTTGAGAAAATTGAAGACTTATTTACGAAATATTACTTCTAAATATCGGATATATTGGTTAGCTCTATTAAAGATAGGAGGTTAATTTTAATAAAAATAAAATAAGCCTGGAACAAATATGAAATATATTTTTATTAGTTTATATAAAATATAATAAATTACTTGTAAATGCATTAGTATAAAAGCAGGGTAATAATTTATTCCAAACAAGTATAAGAAATTTATTTAGAAAAAGTAAGTAGGCATATAGTTGATATTCTTCTATTATATAGAATAAGATACAAAATACTAGTAAAATTCAACTTTTACAGACATATTTGACAGTTAGAGAATATATTATAGTTAATATTTTAACAAATTTTACTAATCAATGCTCTTGATAATAAATATGGCAACAATTTGCATTCAATTATTTAATGCCATCTAATTATTTTAAATATTATATTAAAAATTAATCTTCATATTATTTATCTCACAATGTCTTAAAGATATTTTCTGATATCCTTATCAATATTTTATAGCTTTCTGTAAAATATATAATTTGCTATATTGGTAAAAATTCCTTGATTGTCATATGATAATTGATAAAATTAGATATATTGTAAATCTACGACATATAATATTCCACTGTTTGTATTGTCCTTTAATTTTTTTATTAAATTTATGATTTAATTTTATCAATGGTTTTATAATTATATTTTACTTTTATTAAGATAATAAATTAAAATTACTCACTTTATAAAAAATTATATTTGATATATTATATTATTTAATAATTTTATGGATCTATTATTAATAATTATAATACATTTCACTTTTGTCTTAAGACTAACTTATATTCCATTTCTAAAAAAGCATGTTTGGTTCACTTTTTTTTTATCAAAAATGTATAAATTATGATGAAAATTTTTTTAAAAAAATATTAACTTTTACATTCTTTCTTTCAAATTATTGTTTAAGTTATATGCATACATTTTTGGGGGTCAGTGGTTGGAAGGAGAACTAAGGGGGATATTTTTTGTTAGCTTAAAATGATATTCACAAAAAGTTATAAATTTCTGAAGGGGGGATTTACCCCTTGCCCCCCCCCCCCCTTGACTACGCCTATGGTTCAAACTAAATTGAAATTCTTGATGTATTGGCAAAATTCCCGCGAAAATTAAAAATCACATTATAATGATAGTATTTAATAATTTTTTTTGTATATTATTGTATTTGAGTAGAAGTTATAAAAACATTTTTTTAAATTATTTTATAGTCAATATTTTTGAAAAGAATAAAGATCTTAACGATATAGCGTGAGGTTCAAGTCAGTAAAAATATATTTTATTAACTAATTTCTTTTTCTTTTCTAAAGGTATATATACATTTTCTAAAATATAAATTAGAATATAAAACGAAATACAAAAAAGTAAAATAATATAAAAAAAGTAAGGTTACGCCGTTTATAAAATAAAAATAGATTATAACAAAAAATAAAATTTATATTGTAATTAGAATAATGCAACAATTTTATACATACTAGAATTCATATTTTCAATAAAAAATTTTGTTCCTCTTATATTGTTTGATAATTTAAGCTGAGGCTAATATTTAAAGCAAATTTCATAAAAAAAATGATACTAAAATTTATTTCATTTCACATTTGAAAAAAATATATTAAATATAATATAACTAACTTAAAATATTTAAAAATTGGGTTATAACCTTCATTTCTTCTTTAAATATAAACACCAATTAGTAAATAAATATTAATATAATTATTATTGAATTACGTAAAAATTGATAGAATAGCTCTAACATATAACCCGACAGCTAAGAGAAGCCCTCCCCCCCCTGAAGAAAATCCTCAATATGCCACTGATAATTGAATATTAATTATTATGTAAAATATTTTAATTAAAATAAAATTCAATCAACATTATCTTTGGTTTAAGTTTACAAATGTTTATTTCTTAAATTCACAATATACTTTACTAAAATATATATATATGTGAATATTGATTCTATTATATATTTTAATTTATGAGTTTATCTTAAAAATAATAAGTTAACTTATTATCATGAGAAAATATATATATGATTTTTCATTTAAAAAATGTTTGGGATTTTGGTGCTAAACTTTTTTTTAAAGTATTTTTTTTGGTATTTTTAAATTTCGTCCTATTAAAATTGAATTCATAAAACATCTTATTAATATAAAGATGGTTTTCTTTCTTTCATTGTGATATCTTATTATAACATCTATATATAAAATTATCTATTAAAACTGATATAATAAACCCAAAAGCATCTCTTAAAATTTTAATAGCAGACGATATTTCATTCACGTGATATTTTAAAAGCCATTTTTTTTGGTTTATTTTCTTATTTTTTTTTATACTATTTTATTTTATGATATGGATGTATCATCGTTTATTAAGGATCAATTTAATTGGTTAGAAAAGGAAAGAGATGCAGAAATAATATCTTTACTGTATTTTTAAATTTTAATTATCTAATTTCAATATATTAAAAAGTGAACGGCGCAAAAATTTTAGTGGCGATGACAAAGGAGATGGTAGCTTATCTAAGCTTACCCTTATTAGAGTATACATAAGTAAATCGTGTCGTTTGATGTTCGACTTTGAGAAGACAAATCGTAGTTCTTTACCAGCTTCATATTTTTCTCAGAGTACATTAAGATATAATTGTCTAAATATCTAAAATACATTAAGGTGATGTTGTTGAATTAACTAATGTTTATTGGCCTAAAAAATCAAAAAAAGTAAATATATCTGAAGCAGCTACATTGTACAATAATATAGACTTTTGCATAAAAAAACCTACATACCCCAATAATTCAGAACAAAATAATTGTTTAATATTAAATTTGCCCAGTGATCCTTTGTATGTTGAAAATATCACATCTAACAACTGCAATCATATTAACAAAAATGTGATCAAATTGCTTAATAAATCTATTAAATTTGAAACAATAAACATTAATTTTGAAGATAATATTAACAGCATTAGGTGTAGAGTGGATAATTTTGATAAAAATGTAATTACCATCATGTCACAACCATATTATTTAGATATATTCTGCAAATTTATGGCTGAAGCCAAAAGGCAGAATAATAACTTTGGAAATGATGGATTTAAAATGCTATTGTCATTTGATGATGCCCCCTTTAGACGAATGACAAGGTAACACTTAAAAAAAATTAAATTTTTCTTTACTAAACCTCTGAATTTTAGTTTGCATAGTTCAATTATTACAAATTTATCAATTTGTCTTTAACTATATTGAGAATTATTTAAAATCTAATTTGATTGTCATTTGTTGTATAAATTATTTTATTTTTGGTAAACTATATTACACAGCCATGAATTTAGAACTGAAACCCTTAGAAATAGTAGAGCCTTGCAAGTCCAGATAATTTTTTAACCTAAATTTCCTCCAATTTTTTCTTCCATATATGATTCTCATAAAGGCAAGTTATTCTGTTAGCCTCAGCAGCTACGAAACTTGTATGATTTTAAAAGGTGCACAGATATGGTGCTTTATTTGCTAATAGCATATTTATTGAAATGAGCGCAGATATAATTAAAAAATTCATTATTTAAGATTTAAAAAAAAGTAAAGTAAAAAAAAGAGATTGGCAGTTAAAAATAAATAGAACATCCTTTCATGCTCATTGGTCTAGAAATTTGTATACAAATTTTATTTGCTATTAATTCATATTATGCCAAATACAATAAGTAAATTGTCATATTTTGGTATTGGCCACTATTATCAGCCAAAATCAAGGACATGGAATGGGAGAGTATGGGCACTGTCAGTGAATAGAACCTTGGCTTGTTTTTCCCTTTGATTACATTCCATTTCACTTCTTCACATGATATTACTAATTTTAATATGCGATTTTTATCAATATAAAAATTTCTAATTATTTTACCTTTTTAGTAATATTAAAATTATATAATAAGATGAATAGATAACTTTGTCATTAAGTTAATGTTGTGAGGGATTTTTTACACTCAATTTTTGATCACTGCTGATTACAAATAAAACAATACTGTATATTAATAAAATTAGATATTTCTTGATAACAAATTGAGTAAAATTCCAATATGTTGAATGGGAGTGTACATATTTTTTTTTTAACCATAACAGAAATGGAACAGGGAAATTTTTTTTACCTTTATTCCTGTTGTTAAACGGCTCAATTTGAGCCGATTTTGAAACCGATAACTCAATATTTTATCCAAAAAATATTAAAGCTTGAAGAGATCATAAATAGCACAAAGATGTCGTAAAGGTCAATTCAGCTATACTTTTATCACGAAACACTTTTTTGCGAAACTTTTATCGCCAATGTCGTTTATCGCGAAGGAATTTTATAGCGAAGGTAATATCACGAATTTATTTCCCTGAAACTTTAAGAATTCATTACAGCGAAACTTTTATCGCGAACTCTTTTGAGCGGTATTTTATAACCACGAATGTGTATGCGTGAAACCATTATCGCGAGCGAATTACCGCTATACAATAAATATATTGCTAAGGCATTTATTTTAAGGAAAACAACATACTGAATATTAATTTACTCACATAAGTTCCTTTAAATCATAAACGCGTAATGTTCTCTGAATCTTTTGTTACCTATTCTATTAAGTGAGCAAGTAACCTTCTGATATGATAAAAATAAAATAAATTAATCAATATCTTTCTGGGCTCTTCTCACGCATGCTTGTAGGTATGGAGGGCAAATTTGGTTCAGGTTTTTACCCTAATAAATTTACCCACCCCTCCAACATCAATTTTTAAAATGTGTTTTATGTCATTAGAAGTAAATGTGAACAAATATTTTTAAATGATTATAAATTTTTCCAATTAAGATTTAAAAAAAAATAATAAAAGCAATATTTTTAAACTTTTTTGATTTTTTTTTGAAGCAAATGGGTAAATATATCAAGTGTAAACTTGTTAAATTAAAATTTCAATGAAGATGTTACCATAAGTAAAGTGACAATTGTGTTATTTTTAAGCTTTTTTTTGAATTTTATTGCTGAAACGAGCGGGTTTTTAGCCCATGCCCGCCTATCTAAGGGACGGTAAAGTAAAATAATTTTATAAAAGGTTTAATAAAAATATATAATTTATCGATTTTAAAATCGAAACAAATTTTATGGACTTTTAAATCAAAAAGTCTGAAAATAACGCTTGTTTTCTACATTTTTTTAAACAAGTATATATAAGAAAATTTTATCAATAAAAAAGATTCATTTAATTTATCTCTATTGATTAGGTAAATTTTTAGTGTGTGTGAAGAGTGATAACCATATAGCCAGAATTTGCTGTTATTTCTAAGGTTCTACACGAAGAAGGAAACTGCAAAAAGCATGCCCGACAAGATGGAACCTTCAACATCAAGCTGTTACACCTTTTTTTGGATCTAATTAGCCCATTTTGAATTGGAGAAATATCAGAATGGGCTGAACCAGATATTTCATTCTGAATCAGATATATTATAAGATTCAATACGATAAACATCAATTCTAAATTATAAAACTAATCTCAATTTTATCATGTATAAAAAAATATTTAATATTTTTTTTAAGTAATTTAATATCTCGAAATCAAATTTTGATTAATTCAGAAGACAAGTGGGCACGTTTTGACGGGGTACTTATTAGCCATTTTAAAGCAAGGAATATTTTGAATAAAAAAAAAACAATTAAAATTTTATAAAAACATTAGAAGCCATGGGATTGTTTAGGGGCACGTATGAAAAATACATTATTGACTTATTTTTTTTGTAAATTATATGACAGTTTTAAGTGACAAGTTCTTCCGGGCGTCTATTTTTTCTTAAATTTTATAAATAAAAAAAAATTAAAATATTTTTTTTATCTACCTTAGAGAATTTGTTAATCTATTTTTTTTATGGACAATATAACCCGGGCCTTAGTTTTGTTAAACTACCTCACTTTAATCAACTATAAAACAGTGTAGCCATGTATTGAATCAAAAAATCTTCCAATCAATCTTCAAGTTGAGACCCAACTTAGAAGCTTAATTCATTTTTTTAGGCTAATAGCTTGACCAAGGCCGCATTCATAGTGGGATCGGATCCGACACTATTTAACAGCTCACTGATTTTTAAAATCTGTTTTTGAGATCAATTTATTTTTAATAATATTAATTTTTATCTTTAATTAGTTTTGTTAAACTACCTCACTTTAATCAACTATAAAACAGTGTCGCCATGTATTGAATCAAAAAATCTTCCAATCAATCTTCAAGTTGAGACCCAACTTAGAAGCTTAATTCATTTTTTTTAGGCTAATAGCTTGACCAAGGCCGCATTCATAGTGGGATCGGATCCGACACTATTTAACAGCTCACTGATTTTTAAAATCTGTTTTTGAGATCAATTTATTTTTAATAATATTAATTTTTATCTTTAATTAGTTTTGTTAAACTACCTCACTTTAATCAACTATAAAACAGTGTCGCCATGTATTGAATCAAAAAATCTTCCAATCAATCTTCAAGTTGAGACCCAACTTAGAAGCTTAATTCATTTTTTTTAGGCTAATAGCTTGACCAAGGCCGCATTCATAGTGGGATCGGATCCGACACTATTTAACAGCTCACTGATTTTTAAAATCTTTTTTTGAGATCAATTTATTTTTAATAATATTAATTTTTATCTTTAATTAGTTTTGTTAAACTACCTCACTTTAGTCAACTATAAAACAGTGTCGCCATGTATTGAATCAAAAAATCTTCCAATCAATCTTAGAAGTTGAGAACCAACTTAGAAGCTTAATTCATTTTTTTTAGGCTAATAGCTTGACCAAGGCCGTATTCATAGTGGGATCGGATCCGACACTATTTAACAGCTCACTGATTTTTAAAATCTGTTTTTGAGATCAATTTATTTTTAATAAATATTAATTTTATCTCTAATTATATACATGATAATAACTTAAAAAAAATATTGGTTTTAATAAAGAAAAATTGATTCTCATAAACCGATTTTAAAAATCGATCAGCTGTTAAATCGTGTCGGATCCGATCCCACTATGAATGCGGCCTTAAGCCACAATAGAGATGGTCAAAGTTAGGCAATTTAACAACACTACCGGGCCTCCCCCTTGCCCTTAACATCTTTTTAACAAAATAAAATTATTTTCATTTTTTTTATTAAAATAAATTTCATTTTTGATTTAAAATTACAAAATTATTAATATTTTATAAAAAATTGTGAATTTAAATTTAATTTATTGACGTATTTTGTTTTATATATGTGGCGCCCAATGACATATAATAATACCTAGACTGACAATTCATTCATTAAAAGTGTACATCAATACAAATCAGCTAGAGACGCCATCTTGGTTACTGTAATAAATATTAGAATTTTAAACGAAAGCCTAATTTTATATTATATCTGATGCAAACTTTATTAAAGAATTGCCTGATCATCGAGATAATAAGAAAGTAAGTTATCAATTTAATATTAGTTTTTAACATGAAAATAATTATTATAAAGGTTACCAAAATGGCGGGTCCAGCTGATTTGCTTTTAACGACGCTTAAAAATGCATTTTAATGAATGAATCGTCAGTCTAGGTATTATTATATATCATTGGTGGCGCCACGTATTATTTATTTTATTTTTTACAATTAAATTTTAATATATATTTAAAAACTACAATATTATAAATTGAAATATTACCCACCTCATACTCTTTAAAGCTGCGTTCAAAGTGGAGACGGGTCCGTTTTTTTTACATCCGTTCCTTCAAAAGTCAAAAAAATTTTAAGTAACGTAATAACGCTCAACAAAATTTGCCGGATCGAAAAGTCGAAATGTTTCGACTTCAAAATTTGCCGGATCCGTTTTTAAGACGGAAGGTATCGGAACGGACGCACTTTGAACATAAATATCATTTTTAGGCCGCATTCATAGTGGATCCGATCCGACACGAATTAACAGCTGATCGATTTTTAAAATCTGTTTATGAGATCAATTTTTTTGTAATAATATTAATTTTGTCCTTAATTTTGTACATGATAATAACCTAAAAAAATATTGGTTTTAATAAAGAAAAATTGATTCTCATAAACCGATTTTAAAAATCGATCAGCTGTTAAATCGTGTCGGATCGGATCCACTATGAATGCGGCCTTAATGAGATTGACCTTTGACGGAACGGATATAAAAAAACGGATCTGTCTCCACTCTTTGAATGCAATTTAAACATAAAATATGTTAAAAAAATTTTTTTTTTTTTTACATATGAAACTAACTATAATTATTTAATAAAATAGAATTGAAATATCCTTTACAAGTTAAAAAAGTGGTATTGTTGTGTACTATTTGAGCCGATATTTAAAAACGGTTGTAGTTTCTGATAATATTATATAACATCTATGTGGTATAAAATGTTTATAAAAAAATAGCGAGAAAATTGTCACTTTTCCGTGGTTCATTTTCACTGAAAATTTAATCTAACATGCTTACAATTTATATATTTGCTTATTTGCTTTAGAATCTTCAAAATAATTGAAAATTATGAATATGACAATTGTCACTCATTTATGGTTCATCTTCACTGAAATTTAAATTTAACATGTTTACAATTTATATTTTTATTCGGATTCAATTTGGTTGACTATGGGTCAAGTAAGCCGACTAAATGACTATTAGTCGTAGTTGTAGACTAATTAATAACACCAGAAAAAATTATCGCGATATTGACCCCATGATATTAAATTCAATATAATATCTTGATTTGAATTTCGCGCTAATGACTTTTCGATAAAGTTTCGCCGTAATGTATTGGCGATAATAGTTCCTATATAAAAAAATCGCGATGTTGTCTTCGGTAATGTGGATTCGCGATAAACGACGTTCGCGATAAAAGTTTTGCTGAATTGTCATGTAAACCAATGATTTGGACATCTATTAGTTAAATATCGAGGCATAGGTCATATTTTGCTTGCTAAAACATTAAGTTAGCCGTTTTCAAAAATCGACTTAAATCAAGCCATTTAACAACACTTTGTTCCAGATAGTATTAGTGCATCTCTGAATTTTTTCTACTTGTGATAGGTCTGGATAATTGATAAATATAAAGGGAATATCTTAATGATATACCCTTTAACCCTGTATTGCATACTGTGTATCTCAAGCCACATACCACAAATTATATAATAAATATTTTATAAATAAATTTTAAATCAATTGCATGGTGTGTATTTGAAGCCATATTCTATATCTTCGATTGGAATTTTAATTTGGGCCACGTGATCTATTATTTATTTTTAATTTCGCATTTTATTAAACCCTATTTTTAAAAATGGCTATTTTTTTATAAAATTTTTCTTCTCAATTTTCTACACATCGTAAAAGGATAAATAATATATTTGAAAAATTTCAAAACATTAAAATTAGATAAATAAAAGGTAAAAATTAATGTTTATTAAATTATTTTATATATATTTATTATTTTTGATAATTATATTTTGTAATAATCATACGTTGCTTTAAAGACACATTATGCAAATAAGGTATTTTATTTGAGTTTTATATTTTTAGAATTATGAATTGTGGTACCATACCTAATGATAGTGAAGATTCAAATTTAAGTGAATCGTCTGATGAGGAGTTTCTGTCAACCCAAAATAATGATTTAGGTATATTTAAAATGTATGCTCTTATATAATCTATAAATATCTAGATTTCAATGAGAGTGATGAATCGGAAGAGGATGAAAATATAAATAATGAAAAAGGAATCGTGAGAAAAATGATTTGGAAAAATTGCTTAACTAATTTACCATTAGTTATTCCAAAGTGGAAAGGAGAAAACCCAACGGTTGATAAAGTAAAAAAACCAATGGATTATTATAATACATATCTCAATGATTTATTACCTCTAATTGTTTACGAATCAAATTTATATGCAATTCAATATAATTCCAACAAACCTTTGAATTTATCGATAGATGAATTAGAAAAATTTATAGGAATTATTTTTTACATGTCAATTATTAAACTTCCCAGAGCACGTCTCTACTGGGCCACCAATACAAGACAGGCCAAGGTGGCTGATGTCATGACCCTAAATCGCTGGGAACAAATCAAATCATTCATTCATATAAATGATAATGACAAATTTATTCCACTTGGAAGTGAGGGCCATGACCCACTTCATAAAATTAGACCCTTGATAACTATAACCAATAATATACTAAAATCTTTATCGATAGGGGAAAATATTTGCGTAGATGAGCAAATAATTCCATACAAAGGGATGAGCAGATTAAAGCAATAAAACCCCCAAAAGCCCAAAAAATGGGGCTATAAAGTCTTTCTACTATGCGGAGATGATGGCCTTCTCCATAATTTTGAAGTATACTCTGGGAAAATACTACCATCGGAAGGATTGCCTGATGTTGGAGCAAGTGGCAATGCTGTGCTACGTTTAATTTCTTATATACCACAGCAAATTAATTATAAATTATTTTTTGATAACTGGTTTTGTTCACCAAATTTGCAAGTCGTACTCGCTCAAAGAGGGATATTTTGCGCGGCCACGGTCAGAGGTAATCGACTACCAAATATCAACTTCCCAACAGATAAGGAGTTGAAAAAAAAAGGACGAGGATTTTTTGTTTCAAAAAAAAACAATAATAAAAGGGGTTGAATTAAATTCAGTGAAGTGGCACGACAATCGTGCTGTGACCTTATTGAGCACTTTTGTAGGTGCACATCCTCTTATCGATTGCGAAAGATATGATAGAAAAAAAAGGATAAAATAATGATAAAATGTCCAAACATTGTTAAAGTTTATAATAAATCAATGGGAGGTGTAGATCTTATGGATTCTTTACTTTCATTATATAGAATTCATACCAAATCAAGAAAATGGTACCATCGAATTTTATTTCATGTATTCGACATGTTACTTATAAATTCTTGGTTGCTATACAAACGGGATTATAATAGTATATCAATAGCAGGCAAGGATCGATTAAGTTTGTACAATTTCAAAATTTCGGTGGCGGAAGTCCTTTGCAAATATGGCAAATGCACTTCAAACAATATTCCAAAACGAAAATCAGTTCAAACTGGTTATCGGGAAAAATGTAAAAAAGGACCAGCTCAATATTTACCACTTCAAGAGGTTAGGAAAGACCTCACGGCTCATTGGCCAAAATATAATGATAAGAAGGGTAGATGTAAAATGCCAGGATGCTTATTTATAACAAAAGTATCTTGCAAAAAATGTGGTGTATATTTATGTTTTACGCCCACAAATAATTGTTTTATAGATTTTCATGAAAATTAAAATGTTTAAACCTTTAATATTTGTTATATTTAAATAAAATTTTATATATTTATAGTTTAAAGTACAATAAAAATTATTGTGGAAATAATTGAAATTTGTATCCTTAATTGCATAATGTGTATTTAAATCCACATACCGTTCATCTTCTAAGAAATTTAGAATTTTTTTTAAAAAAGTGAGCCATGAGATTATCAATAGTATCTAGAGAAATAAAAAATCTAGTTTGCCAAAAAAAAATTATTCTAACATAGTACATGCAATACAGGGTTAAAATAAAATGTTGACATAAAGTATTAGATAGGTGAAAGGCTATTAAATAAACAATCTTCCTCTTTTCTTTTCTTTTCTTTTCTTTTCTTTTCTTTTCTTTTCTTTTCTTTTCTTTTCTTTTCTTTTCTTTTCTTTTCTTTTCTTTTCTTTTCTTTTCTTTTCTTTTCTTTTCTTTTCTTTTCTTTTCTTTTCTTTTCTTTTCTTTTCTTTTCTTTTCTTTTCTTTTCTTTTCTTTTCTTTTCTTTTCTTTTCTTTTCTTTTCTTTTCTTTTCTTTTCTTTTCTTTTCTTTTCTTTTCTTTTCTTTTCTTTTCTTTTCTTTTCTTTTCTTTTCTTTTCTTTTCTTTTTCTTTTCTTTTCTTTTCTTTTCTTTCTTTCTTTCTTTCTTTCTTTCTTTCTTTCTTTCTTTCTTTCTTTCTTTCTTTCTTTCTTTCTTTCTTTCTTTCTTTCTTTCTTTCTTTCTTTCTTTCTTTCTTTCTTTCTTTCTTTCTTTCTTTCTTTCTTTCTTTCTTTCTTTCTTTCTTTCTTTCTTTCTTTCTTTCTTTCTTTCTTTCTTTCTTTCTTTCTTTCTTTCTTTCTTTCTTTCTTTCTTTCTTTTAAACTCGAGATGACCCCAAAGTTATCCCTAAACTGAGTAAATATGAACTTGTTTTTTTTTAAATTCAAAAAAAATTCTCAATAAAATTTATTTATAAGCAAAAACTTAATCCAAAAATTAAATGTTTATATCATATATACAACATGCACTAAAAAAAAATTAGGATGAAATAATATTATAAAACAAATATTTTTACTTTAATAAAAAAGTGCTTTAGCCCACATAATCTATGAGCCAAGTGATAAATTAGTATACAGACATCCCCATTCTAAGAGGATTGTTCAATTTGCCTTTGGAGATTCAACATTTTACCGTGATGATTACTCATATAATACATCCTTACCTTGGGTAACACCCATTCAAAAACTCGCTTCCGCTCTCGACGATTTGCGTATCCATTCATCGCCCCAAAACGCCATTTTACCGCACGATATTGTTTCCGGTTACGCTAAATTAGGTTTATTATTATTTTATTTTTAATAAAAAAAAATTTAAATTTAAATTATGAATAAAAAAAATAATAATATAAGATTCTAGTCAAAAAACGTGCATAGAAAAGGTTTTGAAAAATATGGACCCTTCGTACTCTATCGACTCGCCAACAAAAAATGATTCACTCGTCAAATCAAATTGTGACCTTCCAAAACTGCCAATCATGATAATCCATGGTGGACCTGGCACCGGCAAGACTACAGTCTTAATTCAGATTATTCTGAGGGCCGTGCTCCAATTAAATAAGAAGGTTCTATCTTTTTTTCTATATAATTCCTCATTTAGGGTTGGGATGAATCTCGCGGCGAAAGAATACAATAATAACGGCGTATGCCTTTTATATATATTTCGCCGCGAATTCGCCCTAACAATAAATTGTAAGGTAAGATCTCCTCTATAGATCAAGCGATGCGTCATTTACAAAAGCACGTCATAATAGAGCGCAAAATGATGAAATCGTGACAGCCGTTTTACTTAGATGTATATATATATATATCTTAGCCGTGATGGATCAGCTGATTTCGCATCGCTTAAGCAAATCGCACTTACGATGAATGCGGGGTAACCTTTGAAATAAAATAAAATAGGGAAGCATATGAAGAAGCAACCGTACCATAGGTGGACCAGTCTTTCTTATGCGGTCTTTAGTTCGGACAAATCTTTTATTAGCAGTTTAAGTTGTATTATTTAATGGGTTATTAGAAGAGTCTTCATTCATTCCACTTCCCCCCCCCCCCGCCATGACTCTTAATTATCAAGAAAACACTATAAAGTAATTAAAACAGGCAACATCTATACTTGTTAACAAATATTATCCATATCAGGGGAATTTTTTCGTAAATGAATAAAGAAACTGGCTTTATAATAAGACAGCGCAAGATATCACGTGCATAAACTTTTTGCTAAATATATAATAAATATGGCGCACCTCATTAATTTCTCCGATTTAAATCCAAACACCTAGCCACTAACAATCAACTTTTATTTAGGATAAATAATCCTGATTATTATTTTACCGTGTATATATGATATTTTGATATGAAATAAAATTATAAAGCCTAGCGTAACCTTAAAATACTTTCTGTAAACGAAAAAGGCCGGTCTAGGGTCGGTTCTTTTTTACGCCTCGCGGTCACTAAGGGTCCTCGAACAGTAACCTTTAATAAATAAATTGATTCGGTAATGGTGCTTATCTAAACTTTTTAATAAATGTTATGGGAAAAATTATAATATGTATTTATTAAAAAAAGTATCACTTATGAAAGGGATTGGAAAACCGATGAATCGCTATAGAAATTTTTTAAAATTCATTTTTTCTCAAACGTGTGAATTCACATTTGAGTAAATTCATCAAACAAGAGGAACTTAAGTCTTAAACTAAACTCTTGCTATGCTCGTATTATAATGTGGCTAAAGTAAAAAAGGTGACCTTCTTGATTTAGGCCTTAAAGAAAATCTTTCCTCTGCTGGAAATTCGCTGTGAAGGCAAACATCAACTTCTGCGCGGGTGCTGACCAACGATGGAAAAATTGTCCCATTTTTATGAGTTATTAGTGAGGAAACTAGTTAAAAACGTTTTCAAACCCTATTAAATTGATACTGAACGAAGAGGAAGGACACCAGTAAATGCAAAATCGCTCATACGGCTAACTCTATATTTTTATGCCAGAAAACATTTTTTAAGTCTCGAGATTTCGTTAATAGATAATCCAAACTTTTGTGCCAATCTACGAACGATTTTGTCATCCTTAGAATACGACACTACGCATCTTAATAAATGGCATTCCTGACATGCCAATATTATCATCATATTCGTTTTACAATTTAATTATCGATAATGATTTTTTTTTATAAATTCAGGTATTGATATGTTCTTCTTCTAACGTGGCCGTCGACAATATAGGCGAAAGGTTATTGCGGTCATTCCAAAACTACTCCAGGACAAATGAAAAAGGTATTTATCATTATTATTTCTCATTTGTTTAAAAATAACCGGACCTCATTTATAATTTAGCGTGACTTAAATTACGAAATAAAATAATGCGCACCGCATCGTTATCCGCGTATCTTAAATACAGGCGAGGTTTTACTTTTAATCTTTCTCGTTTCTGAATGAAACGTATTTCCACTTTTTCATGTGGAAATTTTTATTCAACCAGCAAAAAAAAAAACCAACTTGAAATATCTGATAATAATCAAATTTTATTAATATATGTTTTTTTGCCACGTATGGTTACTGCATACAAAAAAAAATAAATATGACTAATATAATTAAGTACGAACCGTTAAAACTATAGTTGGGTTATTGCTCTAATTTTAAACTAGCTATAACGTGGTTAAACCTATTTTTAGCCACTATCATAGCAGCTTCCTGGGGGTTTTCTTTTGAGAACTCGACTTTGAAGAAATTAAAAAATAAATCAAAAAAATACGACACAATGTTTAAAAAAATTTATTATAACTAGTAGGTAAAAGTAATAATACGCACCTTAAATATAATCTTCCCTTCTCACTGGTATGCTTTTTCCCTTGTCGAAATTTCTTTTAATTTTTCCGACTCGTCCATCATTGTCATTGGTATCGATGGTAATCGATGATCCATTGTCCATGTGGATTTTCCACCCTGGTTCCATGATCTTGGTACATGACTAGATAATTTAGCTTACTTTTCCACCTATCATTGGATTGCGAATTGTCTTGGAAATCGAGGGTCCTACAAAAAGACTTATCAAAGGGAGGAACCAGCTATAAGGACTGGGTAGGGCTTAGCAACCACAGTGTAATCACCTTAATTTTTCTATCATTATTTTTTTACAAAAAATAAACACATAAATAGGATCATTCATTAGCCCTCCCACAATACTAAGATTAGGGAGCTCCCCTAAAATCATGAATTTTGAAAGTTTAACTTGGAAAGAAAGGCCCGAAGATGACCCCATCGTGGAACGAGACGCGACAACGAAGATGGGCGACGAAAAGATGAACAAGAAGAGTGGCGAGAAGAGATCTAGCGATAAAATTAAGACTACCAAAGCTAACAAAAAACCGATATGCTATACCTTAGATCAACATTTATCTTGTCCGGCATCTTCGAGCAACACGAATCCTCATTCCTTCGAATTGCTGAGGGATTTGAAAGATCGGCTCTCTACAACGTTGAAAGTTTATTATATATTAAACATTATCCCTTTCTTTTTTTGTTTTTTTTTTAGCCGCGTGTTTTGTCCCATTATATAAACTTTGAGACACGCAACCTAGATGGGAATTATATAAAATATAACTTTCAAAAGCATAATTATAAGCCAGTGAATGTATGCTCTAAATATTTCTAAATAGTTAAAATCCAAATAAGGGGAGGGGGTTAGTTAACTTTTTACACGGATTTTTTTTAAAAAGAATCATGCCATTTAGCGGTCAAATATTTTATTTTATTTTTTTTTCTCAAAAAAATAGACTTCAATTGATCGCCTACAACAAAACAGCAAACTTCCAACATCGACACCTCGTAAACGTCAGTTATATACCGCGAGAAATCATCTACATAAGAATAAAACACCCCCCATTAAACTAAATTCTCATACAAATGGTAAGTTGTTAAACCTTATTATTTACGAGAGAGATCTAAATTTTTTTTTATTAGAAACTCATGTCTATTTTTACGATTTAGATACAGTATTGTTAAACGGCTCATTTTGAACCGATTTTTAAAAACGGGTAACAGTATTTTATCCAGAAAAATATTAAACAAGCCTGAAGATTTTGCTCATAGATGCTTACAAAAGTCTAGATCTAGACAGCTATTAGAGAAATCTGAAGGCTTAAGCAATTTTTTTCTGGCCTAAATATAGAATTAGCCGTTTTTCCAAAGCGGCTCAAAACGAGCCTTTTAACAAAACTACTTAGGCATCATCTCTCTTAATAATTTAAACACGGATGTTCCAGTAAAAAAAAAATTATTTTTAAAGCTTAGTTTTCTTTTTTTCGAGGTTTAGAAAATTATTATCCTTTCTAAATCATTGTGACAAGCAACAATTTTATAGGTTTATCATGAAATTCGATTATATTTAATTCTTTCTCTTTAGATTCACAAACATTCGAAACTTTAAAGAAAAACAATCAAATTTATGATAAAAAGATCATATATAATTTAAATAAAAAAATGTTTTGCTCCATTAAAAAAATGAAATATATATGAGTACCTACATTATGGCCTATGAACAAAAGAAAGTCGTTGGTCATCGGTGCCACTATATCCACTGCTTTCATTTATTCCAATTTTTTCCAAACGTCCCTCTTGTCTATGGCAACCCTTAATTATGCCTTGACATAAAAAAAACTGTCAGCTGTTTAAATCGCAATCGCGCCACTATGAATTCAGGGTTAAGGAATAGCGTTTCTTTAAGAATTTTTTTTAACCGGAGTGAAGCTTTATAAAACAAGTTTTTACCATAGTTAAAAATCGAGAACCGTTTTCTTTTCCCCATGGAGTTACTTTTAGTATCTCTATTTTACTTTTTTTGAAATCAATCAAATCACGTTAAACATTTATTAATTTTATTTTTAAATATTTTTTTTTAAATTTGTCATTCCAAAATTTTACAGGTACCAACTTCTATAAGAATTTGAACTCCACAAATACCGCGGGTACCAACAGCAACGCGTCGAGAGTAAACGGCGTATTGAGCCATCACAGTCATCAAACCGAATCGGAAATCAAACGTCTTTTGAGTCAAGCGGAATGGTCAACTATCACCTCCGCCGATATCGTTCTATCCACGCTCGTGAACTTCGGAAAGTACGCCTTCAAAAATGAGAAATGGGATTCCTTAGAGGAAGGGAGATTCGACATGCTCATCATTGACGAGTGTTCTCAGGTGGAGATTTTTTTTTATAAAAAATATTTCATTTTTTTTTAAACGATTAACTCCCTCGAATATCCGGTCTCGTTTCGGGTGGGACACAATCCCGACAAAGATTAGCTTCTCTGAGACGTGTCCCGTCTAGGATTAGATTCGTTAGGACGTGTCCCGAATTTTCAAATTAGACGAAATTATTCTTTTTTCTGATTTAAAATTTAATTTTTTTAAAATTATTTAACCCAATAAATTCCCCTCCCTCCATCATTAAACTAATATGACCGCGACATATTATTTAATAAAATTTGTTTCTATTCACTTCAAACGGTTCTAATTTTACTACTATAATCGCTTTATTCAAATTTTCTAAACGATTTTAATTTCTCAACATCATTGTGGCACACGATAAGTGAAACTTATAGGATAGTAAGTATTTAAAAATCATAATGGAAGAACAATAATTAGCATAGAACTCATGCTGAGCTTTCTTTATGATTGGTTTGGTGCTTTATTCAAATTTTCTAAACGATTTTAATTTCTCAACATCATTGTGGCACACGATTAGTGAAACTTATAGGATAGTAAGTATTTCAAAATCATAATGGAAGAACAATAATTAGCATAGAACTCATGCTGAGCTTTCTTTATGATTGGTTTGGTGCTTTATTCAAATTTTCTAAACGATTTTAATTTCTCAACATCATTGTGGCACACGATTAGTGAAACTTATAGGATAGTAAGTATTTCAAAATCATAATGGAAGAACAATAATTAGCATAGAACTCATGCTGAGCTTTCTTTATGATTGGTTTGGTCCCAATAATAGATTGAGAGTTAAAAATTTCGTGATTTCGCTAGGAACAGAAAACGGCTAACTCAATATTTTGGCCAGAAAAATATTTACCCGAACCTCAAGATTTCTCCAATAAAATCCAAACCCTTTGTGCTATCTATGACCAAAATCTTCAGGGTTTGCCTAATATTTTTTTGGATAAAATATTGAATTAGCCGTTTTTTATAAAATCTGCTCAAATCGAGTCGTTTTAACAACGCTATTTCTCAATTATATTTTTTAACATTTTTTATTGCGGATATATAAGATGATATAAATACAGTACAGAAAAATTCAGTTATCAAAAAAAATGGATATCGGGCCGGGCTCGGGCCTAATTCTATTTAAAATAATCGGGTTCGGGCCGGGCCGGGCCTAATATTTTTAAAAAAAATACGGGCCTGGTCGGGTCGGACTTTGGAAATTTTTTTAAATATATCTAAATTTATCAATTTTACATTGAATTTTTTATGTAAAATAAAAATATTTGATTTTATTTATTGAAACGACTTATAACATATGTCTTTTATTTTGAGTAATTATAAAAATTTCTATATTTAAATAAATTCGGGCCGGGCCGGCAGAAAATTTAAAAAAAAATTCGGGTTCGGGCCGGGCCGGCAAAACTTTTTTAAAAAAAATTTCGGGCCGGGCTTGAAAAATTAGGCCCGATGCAGATCACTAATGAACACTATAAGTCTCAGCCAACGAATTGTTTTTTTTAAATGTCATTCAGATAAATATATAAATGACAAAATAAAGATCAATATTAAATTAATCTTTAGTGCTTTAACCATTCTACTTTTATCTTTTTTTCTTTAAAGTACTCCCCAAAATATTCGTCACCTTTAACTTTACCTATGAATTAATACGTTATTATAAACGTTTTCTAAAAAAACAGTCTATGGAAGCCGCTTCCTGGATCCCGATGTTGCACGCTCCATTTTGTCTGATCGCTGGCGATCATATGCAACTACCTCCCACAGTACTTTCAAAAGAGTAAATGATATCAATAAAATAAAGAAATAAAAGCAATTCTAATGCTGCGGATAACCTAATATTTTTTAGTCATATTGCTATGGCCTGGAGATTTTGTTCATAGATGGCAATAAAAGATTTGGACATCTATTAACGAAATCTCCTGGCTTGCATAATATTATTTTGGCTAAAATCTTAATTTTTAAAATAGACCTGTCTTTAATCCTTAACAACACTTAGGCAAATTCATTCTAAAAAAATTTTTTTTCATAATCTTATATAGTATTTTAACTTTGATAAGAGTATCATTTCATATTTATTTTATTTTTTTTGTTTAAAATTCCCTCTTTCCAGTCCAGTTACTAAAAAGTTCCTACAAATATCTCTCATGGAAAGACTTATTGGGATGTACGCAAAGGACGAGCCAATTCATCGTTATTCCTTCAATCTTTATGCGAAAAAGAAGTTTTTGCCTATTAACTCCTCCACTTCCTCCACTTCTTCCTTAAACTCTTCATCTAACTATCTCGAGAATTGGGAAGAAGGTGCTAGAAAACATGTGGAAAACCATTTCGTCACCCGTTTAAACAGGCAGTACAGGATGAACGAACGTATCGCCAAGTTTATCTCCAACCGTTTTTACGATAATCTCATCGCTACCCCTCCCCATGTAGCTAGGCGTGTTCTAGGGTAAATTCAATGTTTTTTTTTAAATATAAAAATTATTGTTCTGTTCTTCCTATGATGAACAAATGTGCGATTTTAATTATTCCAGCAATTAAATAAAGCACGGACTTAATCATTGATCATCCAAAGATGGAGGAGGGTTATATATATCATTTTTTTAGCAAAATCGCTAACTATTGAAATATTCAATGTGTATCGGAGACCCGAAGAGTTACCATTGGCCCGGACCGGATTCAATAAAAATAGATAATAGTTTCAGCCCGGCCTTGTAATTTTCCCTGCAGGTCTCAGATGTATAGATCTATCATGATCTATATCCGCCAAATGACAAATAATAATACTTAGACTGACGATGCATTCATGTAAGGTGTACATCAATGAAAAACAGCTAGGGACGCCATTCTAGGTTTACCCATATCATTATTAAAATCCTTAAACGAAAGGCCAATATAATCCTATCTCTTACGCAAACTTTTTTAAAAGAATTGCATGATCATCGAGATAATAAGGAAGCAAGTTATCGATTAAATAGTAGTTTTTAACATGAGAATAATTACTATATGGGTTACCAAAATGGCGGGTCCAGCTGATTTGCATTCAACGACGCTTTTAAATACATTATTATGAATGCATCTCCAGTCTAGGTATTATTATATGCCATTGATATCCACTCACTGAGAAGTTGGAAAGAGGGTTTTTGTTATATTTATTTGTAAATTTTGAATATTCTTTTGATTAAAAAAAAACGATGATTTATTTGAGATGTAAACATTATTCCATCTAATGGTACACATATAGTTTACCTTAGAGATCCGAAAATGCCAAAATTTTCAAGCACGGCCTAGTTGGAATTTAGTTTTTTTCCCGGTCAAATTTGTACCTGGTCAAATTTGTACCCGGTCAAATTTGTACCCGGTCCGTTTCCGTTTTTTTAAAACTAAGGTTACCCGCCCCTGTTTTAAAAAAAAGACTATCAAAACCTACCCCGAATAGTTGAACGCCAAAATAAACAACTATTTATAATATTAGGGAGGGGTTAATTTTTTTTTTTAAGAAAAAACACCACACTTTATAGATTATCAGTTCTGTAAATTAATCCCCAGCGCAAATAGATTTCTTTTTTAAAGCTACACGGGTTACCGGACTGGGCTTCGAAGACCTCTAATTTAGCTTACAAATAATTTCCCCAATGACTATATTAACGTTTAAGTTTAGAACCTTAAGCAATCTAGATACTAGAGATCTGCAAAGTTAGGCCCGGTCCCCGGGCCGAGTCTGGCCCTCTATTTAAACTAATCGGGTTCGGACCGGGCCGGGCCTAATATTTTTGAAAAAAATTCGAGCCGGGCCGGGTCGGACCTTGGAAATTTTTTTAAAATATATCTAAATTTATCAATTCTATATTGGATTTTTTATGTAAAATAAAAATATTTTATTTTATTTATTGAAATTAAACGGCATATAACATATGTCTTTTATTTTGAGTAATTATAAAAATTAATTTCTATATTTAAATAAATTCGGGCCGGGCCGGGTTTGAAAAATTAGACCCGATGCAGATCACTACTAGATACCCTAACGAAATTTTTTTTTACATTTATTTCCTAAATAATATGCGTCATTAATTTTGATCCGCAAGATCTAACGGATGGCGATGTTTCACGCGCGCCAAAAATTTTAATTTATATAAAAGTGAGTTAACTCGAGGCTTATTATCTGCATTCGTGGATATACCCAACTTAATTTAAAAAATTAGCATATCAGGTCTATAACAATTGAGAACAAGATAATATTTAGTTTTCCTTATTCCAATTTATTTTATTTTTTTTAAATAAACCAATATTTAGCAAGAAAACTCCTTTTTGTTATCAAAAATCATTTTTTTCTAGTATTTCACTTATATTTTAGCGATATTATTTCCAACACGCAATACGGTCCATTAGCCTTGATTGATACTTCCGGTTTCGAGCACAATCTACCTCCCGGAAATAACGCTCAACTTCCCGTTTTTCCGCCGCGTATTCCTAACCTAATGAATATAAATCCTTCGAGTAATGCTCATATTCGGCCCCCTTTCATCGATAATAACAATATTATGAACACCACTAATTTTTTCAACTATAATAATCCGAACTTTTTTAATGCGGGATTAAATCCGGCGCGACGGATGTTACTATCAGGAAAACCGCCTCCTTTTAAACCCCAGCCCGTGCTTTACAACACACGCCACACGCTACTCTCTCAAAATAATCATTACAATACTTTTCCTCCTTACAACAATCCCTTTAATCGTATTCCCTGTGCCCAAGGGAACCTGCCTTTATTGAAACTCTGTAGTAATCGAGCTGATAGTTTGAGTAGTTCGAGCAGTTATAATAGTGGTTCATCTTCCTCGTCCACAGGAGAGGTGAGCGGAAAGAGTTCTAAAGCTAACCTCGTGGAGGTCGAATGCGTTTATCTTCACGTGACGCGCCTGATGAATAGCGGGCTCAGTCAAAGCGATATTGGCATCATATCACCTTATCGTTTGCAGGTTAGAGATGCACATTCTTTTAAAATACCCATTATAAATATATTAACGCATTATTTAGCTAGGTATAAGAGAGTTAATAAATATTCCTATATAAGATTTAATACCGAACTTGGTAGAGTAATTTTTAAAAGATTCGAAGAGTCCAGAACTGGAAGCGGTGAAAAAATTTTAACCGGTATCTTTAGTTATTTATCCATAAAGGGCTGAAAATAAGGGGACCATAAAACATATATGTTTTTAAATAAATACCGGAAGTGGGAAATAATTTTATTTTTCTGGAGCAAATTAGGATCAGAGATCTGCAAAACCCTTACCAGTGAGGATGGGGCAAGACGGATAGGGTGGGGTAGGACGGGTATGGAAATATATATATTTTTTTTAAATTTTAAAATGAAATAAGTTATATATAAATAAATCACTATTAGAATCATATACCATTTTTTACATCCATTTTGGATTATTTTTTTTTATAAGTTATAACAAAAAAAAATACTGAAAAAATAGATTAAATTCTAGGGTAAAAAAATTTTACATTTTATATTGGGGCAATTTGGGGGGGGGGAAATGTTTTTCTTTTTTTCGGGTTGGGTTAAATTTTTTTTATCTGTGTCTTTAAGTTGACCTGATAATCAAGTTTAGACATTTATGATATACATTAGGGCTGTTTTAGAACCCGGCCTGGGTATATTTAAAAAAAATTAAAGTATGGCCTGGGGGCTGGGGCCTGCAGGTGTCTGGTGCATGTTACACATAATGCTAATTTATATAGATTGAGATGCTTAACAGAAAATTATCGCACAAATATCCGGATATCGAAATCAAAAGTGTAGACGGATATCAAGGGAAGGAAAAGGAAGTCATCATCTTGAGCATGGTCAGGTCTAATCCTTCAGGTTTTTAAAAAATAAATAAATAAATATTATCGAAAAGTTTTACACTTTATACCCTCCCACATTCTAAGTTAGCGCGAATTCTCTGTGAAGAATTCGCGCCAACTGTGAATGCGGGGTTAATCTTGTTCATAAATGCGCGCTCTCTCTATTCGCGGTTTCAATAATTGGCGGTTACCTTCACGTTTTATTTTAAAACGATAATTAAGTGGCCTAATTACTCCCCAAAATGTAGATGATAATTAAACTTTCATAAATTCAACGAAAAATTGTCTAAAGTCTTTATAAAGTAAAGTAATAATATGAGTTGTTGTAGAACGTTTCCATAATATCTTTCAAACAAATTTCTTATAAAAATTGTTTAATTTGTCCTATCCTAACATATTCGGTAACAACTTTCTTATAAAATTGTTTACCTTGTCCTATCTCGATATATTTTTTTCACGATAATCACGACATTTTTAATTTATAAGAAATTTGCTTAGAATGCATATGGAAATGTTTTACAAGGAAATCATATTTATAACTGCGTATCTATTTTCTATGAGAGAGAAAGAGAGATGCCGTTAATTTTTTTTCCCTTCTTAACTTTTTTTTTATAAAAATTTTCATAAATGAATTATTACAAGACTTGAAAAAAATTTTAGGACGCTATTTTATTTTTACATTAAAAATAGCTTATGTTATTTTTATTTATTTTTTTCAAAATTAGAAAATTTATTTATATATTTTTTTTTCATTTAGGACATAGCCTAAAAAAAATAATTTAGTTTTTCAGGATTTTTTATAAAAACGTTTGAAATCAGGATTTTATAAAAAAACGAATATCTCCTAATCCTCTAAATTTTGCTAAAACATGTCGAAAAGATTTGGTTCACTTTTGACGAACTTTCGAAGGTTCGGTAATATTTGGTTTGCCTACAAATCTTAATTTAGCCCTTACTTGAAAATCATTAGAATCGAAGTTTTTTAAAAAAACACCCTGAATAAATGGTAAATAAATATAAAATTAAATGGTGGAATCGGTCTCTGGGTTTTTGTGTTCGTTACTCTTTTGGGATTTATTAAAATTTATGACTACGTTCCAAAATTGACATAATGATACTTAAAGTGACGATTTATTCATTCATTTAAATGTGCACTCAATACAAATCAGCTGGTGGCACGTCCCCTAAAATCTAAATTATATGGGAAACCAAAATGGCGTTTCGTCAGCTGATTTTATATTTCGAGGGTTGTCGAATTTCATGCTGTGAGAAGGGTAACTTATCAATCTGTTTTTTAAAAAAAATCAAATTAACCTTATTTATTTCTTATTTGTAAGGCGACATCGGATTCCTCCAGGATAGTCGTAGAATGAACGTCGCTTTAACGCGAGCCAAAAGACATCTTTGCATCGTTTGCGATTTTTCGCACTATTTTTTACGAAAACCGAAAAACATCCCGCGCAGAAAAGATTCGAGTTCTCGCCAAGATGGCTACGATTTTTTATCGGCCTTTTTGAGTTACGCCTTAATCAACGGCCAAATGATACATAATAGCAATGGGGGTATCCTGAAAAGCGTTCCGCCTAAGTATCTCGAATTGGCCGCCAAATATAAGATGATTAAAAGTTTGTGTATAATATATATTACCATTTTATTAATATGACCTGCTGATCCATAAGATTATTCACCGATCAGATTTTTTTTTTCCTTATCTTGTCCTAAAACCAAATCCTCACATCCGGTATCGATTACCACCTTATCATGATTTATGCCAGCAGGACCTTGCGACTTCCAATTTTTTTTTTATTAAGATCTTATATCATACCCTGCATTCATAATTAGCGCGAATTCGCATCTTAGTATGAAAGAAAGAAAGAAATACACAAAAATACCATCGAATTCGTTATAACTGTGAATACGGCGTTAAACGTGGCTTAATATATTTGATAAAAAAAAGAAAAATCCATATCTTTGTGAATGAATGTATTAGGAATGAAGCAATTAACGTACATATTTTTTAATTTTTAATTAGCGAACACGAAAACGGCAAATTATGTCGATATACCATGCAAGGCCGACAAAATGGATAACAACGCATCAACATCCAATAAGATGATCGCCAACGCCAAATTATCTACCCCGGTCAAATCGAAGACGCCTAAAAAATTGAAAAATCAAACTATAACCAAAAAATCGGCCAATGGCATCGCCGAAAATTTGCTGAATACTCATATATCTACCGAAAAAGCTGATAATCGCGTTAATAACGATAACCCCGCTAAAATAACTAAAACATTTACCCCCGTGCAATCGAAAACGCCTACGGTATTGAAAAATCAAACTATGACCAAAAAATCGGTCAATGCTCAAAATTTTCCCAATACTGACGACGACACCACACCTAGTGGGAAGGCTAATGATCTTGGCAAAAATGACAACAAGGCCAGAAGTGTCAAATCATTCACCCCGTTGCAATCGAAGACACCTAAAAAATCCAAAAATCAAACTATGACCAAAAATTCGGTCAATGCTCAAAGTTTTCCGAATACTGATGACACCACGCCTACTGGGAAGGCTAATAAACTTGGCAAAAATGACAACAAAGCCAGAAGTGTCAAATCATTCACCCTATCGCGATCGAAGACACCTAAAAAAATCAAAAATCAAACTATAAACAAAAAATTATTCGGCAACATTCTTCACAATGTTTCAAATACTGCTGACATATCTACCGAAAAGGCTAATAACCCTGGAAATAGTGATAACGCGGCCAATAACACCGAATTATCTACCCCAGTCCAGCCTAAGACACCGTCAATATTAACAAATCAAACTATAATCGAAAAATCAATCAATAGTGTTCAAATTTTTCCCGATACCGACAACGCGCCTACCGAAAACCCTAATAATCTTGTCAATCATGATGTCATTCCCAAAAACCGAGCTAAAACTAGAAGCAATCCAATTGACCTACCCAACATAACTAAAGAAGCAGGGGCGGTCACTAGAGGGAAAACCAACAATATAAAGTCATTTATTGTAGATTTGCATAGGCGAGTTATTGATTTCTCCGAAACGCCTTTTCCCGGCCAAAATTCTACTGAGACGACCACAAGCGTATCTATGTTACCAATAGAGTTTATCCACGTTGTCAAATCTTTAGAAAATACCCATTTGATTGGTTTCTGTAAAAAGACTGAAAGATCTTTGATTCAGGGAATCGTTGAATTTGAGTATTCTTTGCCTAATAAAACAGATGATCGTGGAACGCGTTTAGCTTCTAACGTCGAATTCGATGAGAATGATGATGAAGCGAATATTTGCCATGAAAATGAGGGAAGTCGCGATGTTGTTGAGAAGCTTGATGATTCTAAACTTCTGACCTCATCTCTCCACCGGATCAAGTACACCTTTTCTCCCTTCGTGCTAAAGTCAGAATCTTTAAAACTTTACGCTCGTTCCTCAGCGAACAAATTAGAACGGTGCCTGCCTGGCATGACTGCCGCAGCGCCCTTCGTTAAAAACGATGACGATTTGATTTTGTCCCATGCGGATCTAACCCTCGTTTTTGAAGTTGGACCTCTTGACGTTATGGCGGAAGAAAATACTCTTTTAGTCAATAAATTTGCTCAATTATCTCTCGCTAATGAACCCGCCAACAACCTTCTACCCACCGCAGAAGGTGTTAACGGTAATGACACGAAAATGGAAGAAACGAGAACGCCCAAATCTAAAAGTATAATTATTACCTATGATTTATTTTCGGTTAATTATATTGTTGTAATACAACTATTCTCGTATTTTTGTTATATGAGATTTTTCGAGTCTTTCAAAGCTTAATTATTTGTGAATAAACTCTAATTACGATAGATATGACTAGAGACATGGAATAACTTGTATTTAATTATTTTATTTTTTCATAGTTAAAAAAAAGAAAGAAATAAAATCTAAAAAGTTGTTAAAATCTTTGCCACTCCCGAACACCGACGTTGTAAATACTTTTCCGGCATATGATCTACCTCACGCCGACAAGATTAAGCCTAAAAAGAAGGAAAGTAAGATGGAACAGTCTCCGCTTGCGGTATCTCTAAGCAACCAGGAATCCCTGCTGTTGGAGTCGGCGATTCAGGCTACGGGTATGTGCTATCAGATTGGGTGTAAGGCTCCCGTATCTCTTTTCGGATTTCCTTGCCAATTTTCATGCGTCGCTTATAAATTCTGCCCTCGTCATTTCCTTCCCGAAAGCCACGAGTGCGTTAATTTGCGCGGCAAAGGGGCGAAACCTATCAATCGTCGCGTTTTTGATGACGGTGAACCTAAAAACACTGGACGCAAAAGTGAGAAGGAAAAATCGAAAATGGATGCTCTCAAAAACCAGTTTACCATGAAATTAAGAAAACGTTTATAAGAATATTCCCTCAAATGGCTTTCCTTTTTTTTTGGAAAGATTTTTTAATTTTATTTTTGTAATCATTCTTTTTTTTAAAGCGTTTGTTTTCGAGATTATTTTGCATTTCCATATCACCCGTTTTTTGTTAGTAAATAAAATTAAAAATTAATATAATAAAGAAATATAGTTTATATCTGTTTATCGAATTATATAAAAATCTTTTTTTAAATTCCTATTATTATGTTTAGATTAGTGTTGTTAAACGGCTCGTTTTGAGACGATTTTTAAAAACAGCTGACTCGATATTTCATCTAGAATAATATTACGCAAGCCTGAAGATTTTGTTTGTAGAAGGAACAAAGGTTTGGATCGTCTATTAGCAAAATCTCGAGGATTAGGCAATATTTCTGGATAAAATATTGAGTCAGCTGTTTTTAAAAATCGGCTCAAAACGAAGCCATTCAACAAAACTAGTTTAGATAACAAAATTTTTTAAAAACAAATTTATATAATATAACAACTTTTTACTAATAAAATTATATATTATTAAAAATTTTTTATAAAAGCAATTATAGAATCATGTGCATTATTGTTTTATATACGAATTATATTATATTTGTTTTGTTATGATATATATAACGTTACATTATCGGTGTATATTTTTTGAAATAAATTTTACACTTTTTTAAAAAAATATATTTGTTTATGACTATATTAAAGCATTAACAAAGGTCTAGACATATATTATAGAAATCTCTAGGCATAGTTAATATTTTTCTAGCTAAAATATTGAGTTAGCCAGCGGTTTTAAAAAATACTATTATGGAAGTTCAATGTTCAAAATAAAGTGAGTATTATTCTTTAAAAATTTCTACCCGTTAATATGATAAAATAATTCATTTACAAAATAAAGCTTCAATAAATTTTTCATTTATATTAAATAATAATAATTATTTTCAAATATTTATTTTAGATGTTGAAGTTTGGCTATTTTATTTTTCAAGTAAGACATAGGAAAAACGCTAATCTATTATGCTTACTTTTATAGAAGCCAGCAAAGCTACGAAAATATGGATCTAGAAAGTTATCCACATATTCAAAATTGAATATTTTTACTATTCATATTTCTATAGGAAATATAAAAATCTTTTATTTTCGATTTGAAAATTTTAGAAAAATATTTAACGTATTATGCATGCATTCGAAAACAAAAAAAAAATATATTGTGGAGAAAGTATGGGGTTTAACGATTCGAAAACCCTAAACTTTAAAAGGGAATAGGTTGCCCAATTATGTTTCTTTTTTAAAAATATATATAATATAACTAAATATGTGATAAAAACCCATTTTATATATTTGTTAAGCGTCACGTCAATGTGTGTGTGTTTTTTTTCTTTCGTTTAAACTTAATACAGATTTATAGTGTTGTTAAACGGCTCGTTTTGAGCTGAATTTTAGCCAGAAAAGTATTGCCTAAACCTCGAGATTTCTATAATATATGTCTAAACCTTTGTTCCTTCTGTGAGCAAAATCTTCAGGCTTGCCTAATATTTTTCTGGTTGAAATATTGAGTTAGCCGTTTTTAAAAATCGGCTCAAAACGAGCCATTTAACAGCACTACAGATTTATATTAGATTTTCCATATATAATTTTATATAAATTATAAAAGTACCTCATAAGGTTAATGGAAAAATTGTTAAGATAGGTATTCCAAACATGAATACAATATATTTTGGGTAAAATCCGATTAAAATGATTTAAAGTTGTAAAAAATAAACACGTAATTTTTTATTTCCCTTTTCAATCGTTTCTTTATATGTGCAAGTAAATACAACGAAATATAATGTATTAATATATAAATAGGGAAATTATATAATTATTTTGAAGACAAAATTAATAAAATCGATTTATATATGTATATAAAAAATAAAACTTAGGTTTGTTATGAGGAATAAACATAGTAGCAAGTTAAATATGCTGTTACTTTCCTAATAACATTAATTCTAACTTAGACTGTTCATCTAAGGTTCGATAATTTTGAAAAGCATTACTCAATCGAAATGTTAAGGCCTTTCATCGAAAAATCTTTCAATGGCGTCTAAGACATCCGATGACATGAAGCACACCTGACTTCAATGTTTACACTTTTAATAAATGCTAATCAGTCTAGATTAATAATGATCACATTGGCCTTTTCCTTCAACTTATATTATCTTTCCTTTTAAAAATTATGAATATGAATATTAAAAATAATATTGTTATAGTTAAATAAATTTTTTTTTTTTACTATTGAATAGAAAAAATATAAAATAATAATTTTTCAAAATGAAAGGGAGTTAAAAAAAAGATTTTTAAAAGTTCTCCAGGATTCAAGCCTAACTAAGCCAGAAAAAATTTTGCCACCGAATCTCTAAACGCCGGCCAACCAATTTGAACAAGCAATTGTTTTTCTTTAAATGGTCAGTATCAATCTCTATTTTATATGTTTTTGTATTTATCTATTTGGCGGTGCCAGCTACCAAGATAGACGTAATATAGTGTTCACATTATTGATTTTATTCATTCTCTTTGAATAACTTGGGGAAAAGAATTATGAAATTATTTTTATCAAAGTTTGAAAACAATCTTAAAAAATTCAAAAAAAAAAATATTTTATAAATTATCATGCATAAAAAATTAAAGAAAAATAATCAATTTTTTTTTTTTTAGAAATTGAGCGCTCATTTTAAACCCCGACAAATCAGAAAAGTCTGGTTAGTGCCTCCCGACTCAAGGCTAATTTTTATATGCAGGATTTTATAATACAAGAAGAAATTTTAATGTTTTGTTTAACCAAAGTAAAAACGTCGACTTATTTCTAAGGCAAAAGGTTTGGTGTATACCTCTAGCTCTCAGTTGTGATAAAATATGTTATAAAAAAAAATACTAATGGATAATCTTATGACATAAAACTCATACATGCGATGGAGGAAGGTTCAGATTTTTGTTTGGTATATTATACATGACACTTAATCTTATTTGTCTAGCTCCAGACTAAACATTTTCGTGGTAAAACATATTTTTGAGTACGAAATTTTAATATTATTTGTATTAGGCTGTATAATAGCAAAATGATCTATTATAGAATTAAATTTTAAACCTATCCATATAAGATTCCAAATGTTCAAGCTTTTATTTGATATATTATATATGACACTTATTGGTCTAGCTCGTGGAGAAGGTTGCAGGAATTAAAATTTCCTTAGAAACTTTGTCTTTGGAGAGGTCATTTTTTTGGTAATTTTTAAATCTTTTATTTATCCCACAGAGTTAATAAAAATTTAGCAATGAAATGAGGAATATAGGTAACTTAAAGCTCTTTTTTTTCTTTTCTTTCTTTCTTTCTTTCTTTCTTTCTTTCTTTCTTTCTTTCTTTCTTTCTTTCTTTCTTTCTTTCTTTCTTTCTTTCTTTCTTTCTTTCTTTCTTTCTTTCTTTCTTTCTTTCTTTCTTTCTTTCTTTCTTTCTTTCTTTCTTTCTTTCTACTATAATTATTGCAAGTTCAAAAAAGATATGAAGTAAGTTGTTAGTTCAGTTGTTTATTAAATATAAATTTTTTTTAAAAAATGTGTATACAGTTTAACATTTTATACATTCCCTTATTAAATTATCAAGTTGTTCAATATTTCATAGTTATAACATATAAATTAGTTTATAGTATATATATATATATATATATTGAAATATTATTGGTTAGAATTTTAATCGTATTCTTTTAATTATATGTATATAGATATAATACAATATTGTTTTAACATTTAAAAAATTCTAATCTTCACATTTACAGGTAGGACTTCCAAACCAATCTAATACGTACCCTTTGGGACAATGCCAGAAGCAAATTATAGGACAATCTATTATTTTTTGTTCAAATTGGGTTTTAAAATAAAAATTATACATTTTATATATACAATAAATTGATAAAAATGATAAAGAATTTAATAGGCAAATTGTTTTGAAAAAAAATAAATAATTCTTATCAAATTCTGTACAAAGAATAATTCGATTTTATTCTTACTTTTTAAAAATACCATTTATTCCGTAAAGGAAAAAACTTGCTAAATTGTTTTAAAAGCAAATACTAGTTTAAGCATTTTCAACTCCACCCTTTTTGCGGAGTTAAATACTTTTATATGTAAAGTAAATTAATAAAATATTAACAATATGATTTGGATTTATATTGGAGAAAATATGATCATTTATCCTGTTTAATCATCACACCTTTTTCAGAGTTTAAAAATACTTATTATATGTATTTATATTTGTATTTAATACAGATTTACTAATATTTTTTTTTTGAAAATATCATTTGAAATTTTTAGGTAAAATTTGGTTGTAAATCTTGTTTAAGTATAATCAACTAAACCTAAAATTATTTTTCCGAGTTTATATAAAAAAATACCATTATATTTACTTATATTTTAATACACAATTGTTTAATTTTTAATATTTTTTTGAATGAATTGGGAACAAAACAGGAACCTCAAAAATACGTCATTCCATGTGTCTTTGGTTCAAAGAGTGGCAGTTCCGCTACATATTCGAGAAAATCGTAAATAAATAAATAAATATGAAACAGATTCCCAATAATAATGTTATTATAAATATTGAATTTTCAATATACTCAGGCAATAGCGATCTTTTTTTGAGGAGATTCGAAGACATCTTCAAGGACACTCAGATCTCGGACATCGAAAAAGCAGGTTTCTTTACAAGAAGACTACCAGATGAGGTATATATCAAGCTCAAATCGATATTTTCACCTACCGACTTCATCAATACATCGATATTGATTGAAAAATTCAGGTTATTACACCCGAGGAAATCTACAAGTTCCAACGTATTATTATTTAACACAGCTGTACAAGGTAAAAACGAAAGTTACATCAATTGAGTAAGTAGATTATGCATTTTAAAAAATGAATGTTTGCTAAGTGATAGCAGAGTTATTGAAAAAGTAAAAATTTCATCAATCAGCAAAAATATTAGGCAGAAAATTACGTTAAAAGAAAACATTACATTAGCAGAAGTTCTTACTTTAAGAGATGATTTTGAAGAGTTAGAATTGAAAGAAAATATAATTGCTAAAGTTGAAAATATTTCTTTAAACGAAAAAACAGAAGATGATACAACCGTGAAACATGTAGAAAGGCAAAGAGGCAGGAAAACTGAAGAAAATAAACAATTGGTGAGATATGGAGACCATTACGAATGACAAAATTAACAATCTAATTACGATAACAGACAACGATGGACAACAAGAGGCCATGACTTTCAAAGAAATAATTATAACCCCAGATATCAAGAAAATAATTAAAACCCTAGATATCAGAATTATAACGCGAATTATTACAACAACGTCAGAGCAAACTATCCAGGATCGTACAATAATTCTTCGAGATTTGATAATAGAGCTAGTTATAATAACAATAACTATATATGTCAAATTACGTTTAAAGCACGATGACACACCGAAAATCATACCGCCAAGGCGTACACCATATTCTAGAGTTGATTTGATAACAAAAGAACTTCAAAAGTGGATAAACGATAAAATTATTGAACCTGTTGAAGATTTTAGATGGGCTAGTCCTCTCACTCCCGTTTATAAGAGCGATGGCTCACTTAGGCTCTGTGCCGACTTCAAAAATACTATCAACCCTGCTTTACAAGATTTCAAGTACCCTATACCACGTATAAATGATTTAATCGCTAAATTATCTAAAGGTAAAAAAATTTACCAAGATAGATTTTAAAAACGCGTTTCTCCAAATACCCATATACAAGGAATCAAGAGATTTTCTTACGATATCGACACATAAGGGTTATTATAGGTTTACGAGACTGCCATTTGGTTTAAAAACTTCGTCAGCAATATTCCAACAAACTACGATAACATTTTCGGAGATTTAAAAAATGTTATATTTTACATTGACGACTTGTTAATTACAGGTGATAACTATGAGATACATTTGGAGAACATTAAAAAAGTATTCGATAAGATCATCAAGTATGGATTAAACCCCAATTTCGACAAAAGTTTATTCCTGCAAGATAAAATACGCTTTTCATCCCAACGATGATAAGATAAAAGCTATTTCTAACATGCCGGAACCGAAGACAAAAGATGAATTGACAACTTTTTTTGGGATGGCGAGCTATTATCGAAAATTTTTATGTAATTTTGCGGACATAGCTGATCCTTTATACAAAATGGTTAATAAAGACAAATGGTTATGGGATAATACACATCAAGAAAGCTTCGACGACCTAAAAAATCTGATAAGTACTCCGCCTACGTTAAATTTATAATCCGGATCTACCAATAGGCATTGCAACTGATGCTTAGAAAGGTCTAGGCGCAGTCTTATTTTATATTGAAGGTGATGGTAAAGAGAAACCCATTGCTTTCGCGTCAAGAGCTCTATTAAAATCAGAGTTTAATTACACTAATATAGAGGGGGAAGCTTTATCTGTTATATACGCGGTAAAAAAGTTTCAAGAATATTTAATTGGTACGAGATTTACAATAATCACAGATCACAGGCCACTCGTTTATATATTTACGAAGGGACTTAAGGATAATTCATCCATATCAATGCGACCTCAAAAATGGAGTTTGGCTATGGGAACTTATGACTTTACGATTTCATGGACCCGGGAAACGAAATGTAGTACCTGATTGTTTGTCAAGATTACCCCAAATGAACACAGAAGAAATGATATAAGAGATAGATGATAAAAAAAATTGATGGAACGACACATGTGAAAACAAATGTAATACCTTTTACTCAAAAGTTAATAAAATATACTAATGACGACAATAAAACTATCAAGAAACGTTGACTGCACGATAAGATTCACATGCAAGAAAAACCTGAGTGGAGATCATTTTTTTAAAGGGTGGAATGTTGATTTGACCGATTAATACTAACCTTTAAATTATTTTTTTTTTGGTTTATATAAATTGATTTTTTTTTATATAAATTGTGTAGATTGATTTTTTTATTAATATGAAAAAATTGTTATATAAGGCTGATTTTTTTTAGTTTGATGATAGATGTAAAATTTCAAAATAAATTAAATAAAATTAAATTGCAACTTTGATTTATTCCAAATTAAATAAAATAATCTCGTAACATTTTAAATATTTCTAGAAAACTTTAAAAGAATCATTAATTTAAATAAATTTCACATTTTATAATTAATTTTTATAATAAAATAAGTGCGCTTTGTGAATCTATAATTATTATACATTTTATTAATTTTTGGTTTTTATAAAATTTAAAAACGTTCAAATTCTGTTATTAAGTTATCTTTGAAAGTTTTTCTTTTAACAAAGAGTAAGTTAAAAAATAATGATGCTTATATTTTGTAATAATCGATTTCTTATTATAAATTTAAAAATTAATGAAATAAATCTTTAAAAACGTTAAATTAAAATTGAAATTTAATAATATTCTTTCAATGAACACGTTCAGAAACTTTGTTAAATTTTGAATATTTATTTTTTGAGTGAAATGGAAAACGGAACATAATCGCAAAATGTACCGTTCCATATGTCCTTGGTTCTCGAAGCATCATTAATTTATAAAAAAAAATTTAACTTTATATTATATGAAGCGATTTATTTCATATCGTGATGTTAATTTGAAGATCAAATATATATACTTTTTAATATTTTATTACTTTCATATTCACTTCTTTTTAGTCGAAAACGGGTCCTGATTATGTTGTCAACTGCAACACTTGAATAACATAGAGATAGAATGACCAATAAAATAATTATGGTAAATTTTAAAGATTTTGTCATTTTTTTTAATATATAAAAAATTTTTAGATATAAATTATTAAATTTTTGAAATAAATATATTTTAAAGATAAAACTTTATAAGTTTCAAAAAAAAAACGAAAATTTCAATTGTAAAACTTGTTTGATCCTTATCTCCTATTAATATTTTTTTTGTAACACATTATAACAATAATAAAAAAATAGTTTATCTTATATTATGACAGCGCATGACTTATTTGAATTAAGATGTATTGTTTGAAATAGGATGTATTTTTATATAAAATGTTACATTGTCACATATCGGCAAAAGATCAAATTTTATTACAAGCCTGGCTCATTCGACGATAATTTTATATTTAATATCGGCTCTAGCTAAGCCGGACTGTGCATAGATATGCCTGAAACCTATATAGGTTTAAATTAAAACTTATTTTTTATAAGCCAACTTATTAGATATGATTGCAAGATTCCACATGCTTCAGTTGGAAACAAATTGGTTTAATTTTGCTCTTCCCCATTAATGAATTGCCAGTTATATTTTTACTAAATATTTTATGTAAGATAAGATAGCTTAGAACTGTATAATTTAATATTGTATCTTTAATTACTAAAATTATATTAGCATCCATTAACCCACCCTGCATATACTGCCTATTAAGACAGAATTGATTTTGGTTGATAACAGAATGACTTCTATTCTCCTTTAGCTTTTCTTGAGACATTTTCATATGTTCTCCAGTAGAAAATTATCTCCTGAGATTTAGATTATTCCATTTCCGGTTTACAAGGAGAGCAATTTAAAAATTAAATTTCTATTGTTTTATTTATGATGGCTAACCAAAAAAAAATCATTTTTGTAAAAAAAGGCTATTAAATAAACATTCATTTAGAAATTATAAAGGAAATGAAGAGAAGAGTAGAGATCCTTAAACGATTTTATAACTCTTTCTTTCTCTTTCTTTCTTTCTTTCTTTCTTTCTTTCTTTCTTTCTTTCTTTCTTTCTTTCTTTCTTTCTTTCTTTCTTTCTTTCTTTCTTTCTTTCTTTCTTTCTTTCTTTCTTTCTTTCTTTCTTTCTTTCTTTCTTTCTTTCTTTCTTTCTTTCTTTCTTTCTTTCTTTCTTTCTTTCTTTCTTTCTTTCTTTCTTTCTTTCTTTCTTTCTTTCTTTCTTTCTTTCTTTCTTTCTTTCTTTCTTTCTTTCTTTCTTTCTTTCTACTATAATTATTGCAAGTTCAATAAAGATGAAACATGTTGTTAGTTCAGTTGTTTATTAAACATATATTTAAAAAAATGTGTATACAGTGAACATTTTATACATACCCTTGTTAAATTATCAAGTTTACTTGTTCATTATTTCAAAGATATTACATATAAATAGGTTATAATATATATTATAGAAATATTATTGATTGAAATTTTAATCAGTTCTTTTAATTATGTGTATATATATAAAACAATATTGTTTTCACATTTAAAAAATGCTAATCTTCAAAACATTTACAGGTAGGACATCCAGACCAATCTAATACGTACCCTTTGGGACAAGGTCTGAAGCAAATTATAGGACAATCTATTATTTTTTGTTCAAATTTTTTAAAATAAAAAATATAACTTTTTACAAAATATATCAATTGATAAAAATGATGAAGAATTTGAATGGGCATATTGTTTTGAAAAAAATAAATAATTCGCATTAAATTCTGTATAAAATATAATTCGATTTTATTCTTACTTTTTAAAAATACATTTATTTCGTAAATGGAAAAGACTTGCTAAATTGTTTTAAAAGAAAATAGTAGTTTAAGCATTTTCAATTCCACCCTTTTTGCGGAGTTAAATACTTTTATATGTAAACTAAATTAATAAAATATTACAAATATGATTTGGGTTTATTGGTGAAGATATGATCATTAATCCTGTTTGATCATCACACCTTTTTCAGAGATTAAAAATACTTATTATATGTATTTAATACAGATTTACTAATATTTTTTTTGCAAATATTATTTCAAATTTATAGGTAAAATTTGGTTGTAAATCTTGTTTAAGTATAATCAACAAACCTAAAATGATTTAGAATAATAGTTAAAAATTTGAACTAAATTCTGTTTGAGTATTCTCAACTACATCTATTTTTCCGAGTTTATAAAAAAATAACATTATATTTACTTTAATTTTAATACACAATTGTTTAATTTTAAATATTTTTTTGAATGAATTGGGGACAAAACAGAAACCTCAAAAAATGCATCATTCCATGTGCCTTTGGTTCAAAGAATCATTAATTTAAATAAATTTCACATTTATAATTAACTTTTATAATAAAATAAGTGCGCTTTGTGAAACTATTATTATTTTACATATTGTTAATTTTTGGTTTTGTAAAATTTAAAAACGTTCAAATTCTGTTATTAAGTTATCTTTGAAAGTTTTTCTTTTAACAAAGAGTAAGTTAAAAAATAATGATGCTTATATTTTGTAATAATCGATTTCTTATTATAAATTTAAAAATTAATGAAATAAGTCTTTAAAAACGTTAAATTAAAATTGAAATTTAATAATATTCTTTCAATGAACACGTTCAGAAACTTTGTTAAATTTTGAATATTTATTTTTTGAGTGAAATGGAAAACGGAACATAATCGCAAAATGTACCGTTCCATATGTCCTTGGTTCTCGAAGCATCATTAATTTATAAAAAAAAATTTAACTTTATATTATATGAAGCGATTTATTTCATATCGTGATGTTAATTTGAAGATCAAATATATATACTTTTTAATATTTTATTACTTTCATATTCACTTCTTTTTAGTCGAAAACGGGTCCTGATTATGTTGTCAACTGCAACACTTGAATAACATAGAGATAGAATGACCAATAAAATAATTATGGTAAATTTTAAAGATTTTGTCATTTTTTTTAATATATAAAAAATTTTTAGATATAAATTATTAAAAGTTTTTGAAATAAATATATTTTAAAGATAAAACTTTATAAGTTTCAAAAAAAAAACGAAAATTTCAATTGTAAAACTTGTTTGATCCTTATCTCCTATTAATATTTTTTTTGTAACACATTGTAACAATAATAAAAAAATAGTTTATCTTATATTATGACAGCGCATGACTTATTTGAATTAAGAAGTATTGTTTAAAATTGGATGTATTTTTATATAAAATGTAACATTGTCACATATCGGCAAAAGATCAAATTTTATTACAAGCCTGCCTCATTCGACAATTATTTTATATTTAATATAGGCTCTAGCTAACCCGGACTGTAAGATATGCCTGAAACATATATAGGTTTAAATTAAAACTAATTTTTTTTAAGGATATTTGTTTATTCGTGCCAGCTTATTAGATATGATTGCGAGATTCCACATGCTTCAATTGGAAACAAATTGGTTTAATTTTGCTCTTCCCCATTAACGAATTGCCAGTTATATTTTTACTAAATAATTTATGTAAGATAAGATAGCTTAGAACTGTATAATTTATAATTATATCTTTAATTACTTAAATTATGGGAATTAGCATCCATTAACCCACCCTGCATATACTGCCTATTAAGACAGTATTGAATTAATTTTGGTTGATAACAGAATGACTTCTATTCTCCTTTAGCTTTTCTTGAGACATTTTCATATGTTCTCTAGTAGAAAATTATCTCCTGAGATTTAGATTATTCCATTTCCGGTTTACAAGGAGAGCAATTTAAAAATTAAATTTCTATTGTTTTATGATGGCTAACCAAAAAAAAATCATTTTTGTAAAAAAAGGCTATTAAATAAACATTCATTTAGAAATTATAAAGGAAATGAAGAGAAGAGTAGAGATCCTTAAACGATTTTATAACTCTTTCTTTCTTTCTTTCTTTCTTTCTTTCTTTCTTTCTTTCTTTCTTTCTTTCTTTCTTTCTTTCTATCTTTCTACTATAATTATTGCAAGTTCAATAAAGATGAAACATGTTGTCAGTTCAGTTGTTTATTAAACATATATTTAAAAAAATGTGTATACAGTGAACATTTTATACATACCCTTATTAAATTATCAAGTTTACTTGTTCATTATTTCAAAGATATTACATATAAATAGGTTATAATATATATTATAGAAATATTATTGATTGAAATTTTAATCAGTTCTTTTAATTATGTGTATATATATAAAACAATATTGTTTTCATATTTAAAAAATGCTAATCTTCAATACATTTACAGGTAGGACATCCAAACTTATCTAATACGTAACCATTGGGACAATATCTGAAGCAAGTTATGGGACAATCTATTATTTTTTGTTCAAATTGGATTTTAAAATAAAAATTATACATTTTATAATATATATAAATTGATAAAAATGATGATGAAGAATTTAATAGGCAAATTGTTTTGAAAAAAAATAAATAATTTTTATCAAATTCTGTATAAAGAATTATTCGATCTTATTCTGACTTTTTAAGCTTTTATTCCGTAATTGGAAAAGACTTGCTAAATTGTTTTTAAAGCAGTTTAAGCATTTTCAATTACACCCTTTTTGCAGAGTTAAATAGTATTAGTAAACTAAATTAATTAAATATTACAAATATGATTTGAATTTATATTGGTGAAAATATGATCCTTAATCCTGTTTGATCATTTTTCTTTCGCACCTTTTTAAGAGTTAAAAAATACTATTAAACATATTTATATTGTATTTAATACAAATTTACTAATATTTGTTTTTGCAATTATTATTTCAAATTTATAGGTAAAATTTGGTTGTAAATCTTGTTTAAGTATAATCAACAAACCTAAAATGATTTAGAATAATAGTTAAAAATTTGAACTAAATTCTGTTTGAGTATTCTCAACTACATCTATTTTTCCGAGTTTATAAAAAAATAACATTATATTTACTTAAATTTTAATACACAATTGTTTAATTTTAAATATTTTTTTGAATGAATTAGGAACAAAACAGAAATCTCAAAAAATGCATCATTCCATGTGTATTTGGTTTAAGGAATTATTAATTTAAATAAATTTCAAATTTATAATTAACTTTTATAATAAAATAAGTACGCTTTGTGATCTATTATTATTTTACATTTTGTTAATGTTTGGTTTTGTAAAATTTAAAACGTTCAAATTCTGTTATTAAGTTATCCTTGAAAGTTTTTCTTTAACAGTTAAAAATATTGATGCTTATATTTTGTAATTAATATTTCTTATTATAAATTTACGAATTGTCTTTAAAAATATTAAATTAAAATTGAAATTTATTAATATTCTTTCCAATGAACACGTTCAAAAACTTTGTTAAATTTTGAATATTTTTTTTAGAGTGAAATGGAAAACGGAACATAATCCCAAAATGCACCGTTCCATATGTCCTTGGTTCTCAAAGCATCATTAATTTATAAAAAAAATTTTTAACTTTATATTATGTATATGTCGTGATGTTAATTTGAAGAGCAAATATAATATATATTTTTTAATATTTTATTACCTTCACTTTTACTTCTTTTTAGTCTGAAACGGGTCCTGATTATGTTGTCAACTGCAACACTTGAATAACATAGAGATAGAATGACCAATAAAATAATTAAGGTAAATTTTAAAGATTTTATCATTTTTTTTTATAGATAAAAATTTTTAGATATAAATTATTAAAAGTTTTTAAAATAAATATTTTTTAAAGAAAAGATAATAGTTTTTTAAAAAAATAAGAAAGCTTTAGTTGTAACTATGTTTGATCATTATCTCCTAATAAGATTTTTTTTTGTATTACCATTATAACAATAACGCATGCCTTATTTGATTTAAGATGTGTCGTAATAGTTAGTTAAACGAAAAATGTATTATTCAAATTGTGATAATATTCAAACAAAAATAATGTTTTATAAAAATTATTACGTTAATTATTCAAGTTTTTAGACTATGTAATTGAGATGAAAACGCGTGATAATTGTAAATATCAATAGTGAAGTTTTACTGGTTAACTTAGAAAACCAACTGATTCTAGTTGAGACTAAAATATTTTAGATGTTAGAATTTTATAATAAGTTATAAATAATTGATCATAACTATAATAAAAAGGAACATAAATTGTGTAGATTAAATAAATTTATTTGTAAAATATAGTATAATTGAAAATATGCGAAGATTAAAAATTAAAAAATGGAATATTAAAGACAAGAGGGGAAAAGTATTGTCTAAAATAGAATATTAGAAGTCCGTCTTGTGGAGAATTAGTAGGAATTTAGTTCAATTAAATATAAGGATTTAATTTATCATGTGGCGAAGATTTCTTTATTTTATCAATTAAGTATAAAAATAAAATCTGTTATACTATCTCTGTATAAATAATTTTCCCATGAGCTTTAATATTAGTAGATAGCCCGTCAAAAATGACGGGGAATGAGAATTTTCTTCTTATATTTATGCAAGATGTTACCTGTTATTTGAAAATTATATACAATTTTATTCTTTTTACCCCCTCCCCCCTTCAGGCCAGGTTCAATCCATTAAAACTAAGACTAAATACTATGGTTTGAATAAGAATAAATTTAAAGCTTTTACTTGATAATACCAATATGTTAAATTTACTGATCATTTACACATAATATTTAATATTAAAAAAAATTCCAAGGTAAAGCAGAAAGCCATAATAGTTTTGAAAAATTCTTTGAATAAAAATAATATTTAAATTAGCTTTTACCTGAGTGCCATATAAATATTCTGTGTTAAATATTACACCTATGTCTAATATTAAAAAAATTCCCAAGACAGGTCCACGCACTTGGGAAAATATTCTCAAACTCCCCAAAGACCATAATAATTTTGATAGTTGAGAATTGAAATATATAAAAAGTCACAATGCATTTAAACAATCAGAATATGAAAGTTGCATGGGCCTTGGTTTTTGATCAGGCCTGTCCATGTCTTCAAAAGAAATTTTCAGGCCAATTTCTAGCCCATATTTAAAATTTAAAAATTTTTTGAAAAATGTTTAGCAAGCTACGTCCAAGTCCAAATTAATTGTGAAAAATATTTCCAAAGCCCAGGAAAACTCAGAATAATTAATTTTTTGCTTGGATCCTGAAAAATAGTAAGGGGTTTATAAGAATTAAATCTGTCTAATATATGTATACATTAATTGAGAAAATTTTTCAAAATTCATCAAATGAAGGGGAAATATCTGATTTACCTATCATTATATGAATGAATACACATTAAAGTACCATGCTTAAAATATGATCATCCTAATTTAAATTTTAAACAAACCACCACCTTTCCATATGATTTATTATTTAATTACAAATTATAAAATTAAATTTAAGAAATTGTTATTAAATTACAATAGAAAAAATAAAAAGATATTTTAAGTTATCAAATAATAGGAGGTTAACTACAATCATAGTCAAATTATATATAAGTTAAACAAAAATGTTATACATTTCATCAAAAATGTTATAATAAGTTATGAATAATACATTCTACAATTATGAAGTTATGAGAAAATATACAACACTATATTATAATAGAATGAATTATTTAATGGTAATTGAAATATTAGTAAGTGGACAATTTTTACAAAATTATTTGATTCTTTATTTTATTCTTCAAAATATTACACTGCTAATAATCTCTGCAATTTCTTTTGAAATATCTGTCAATTTTCTCTTAAACCATACAATAAATATATTATAATAACTCAGATCGTAACATTAAAAGGTGCTGGAAAATTAGGATCTACTATATGTCAAACAATATATATGGTTAAAAGAAAATATTGATGATATTACCAAATATTCTGATTCAATTTTAAAATTGACAGACAAATGTAAAATATTAAAAGGCAAAAATATAAAATAGTTTTTTATTTTAGGAATCTAAAAATTGACATCTCGGAACAGTATTATTTTATATATGTATATAAAATTAACTGCATCATACCTTAATGAAATTGCTATCCCTATGTATAATGATTCTGTACATTATGTTACTATTATTTGTTATTTATTATTGAATAATAGCTAGATTAAGATAATGCCAACAAAGAAAATGAAAACATTATAGTTTTTAATAAAAATATTCCTATTTCTACTCTTAAAAGATATTATATCATTTCTATTATAATTTTATTATATAACTCAAATATAATATTTTATATATATTTTATGGAAAAATTATCTTTCAAAATAAAATTTATTAGTTTTCCAACTATTTATTAAATATTGATACAATTATTTACAACTTATATTTATTTATTAAGTATAAATAAAATTTAAATATAATCATTATCAAATAATAAGTTCATACAAAGTTTAATAACTGAAAGGTAATATATAATAATAAATACAATTAAATATTTACATATCTTTTGATAAATAACTAATAATTGAATCATATCAAACATTTTGAATATTTTAATTTTTTTAAAACTTAAATGTGTCCAAAATGTCGTTATTAATTTGTGAAAATTTTAAGGATTTTTTTAAAATATTTTGGAAGCAGCTTAAAATAAAATTTTAGTTAATTATTATTTAATGAATTTTTTGGATTTAAAGAAAGTTATTTGGAAAATAGAATAATATTTCTTAAAATTATAAAAAAAAAATTTGGTATCTATTCCATCTCCAGTTTTGGAATAATAATAAAAATGATTATTTTAGAAAGGAACTATTAAATATACACATACACTTATCATAAAAAATTATTTAAATGCTTTTTAGACCTTCATAAATACTCTTTCAACTTCTTCCTTAACAATCAATCTTAATTGCTATGTATACCTAATAAATTAAGACCCTGGATTTTGACCCTTATAATCTTCTAAATAGCCAATGGATACCACCACAGAGTTTTTGTGACACAATCAGGTTGACCTTATATTTGATTTAAATCTATGATAAGAGGTCTTTGTTAAAAGAGTATTTATGAAGGTCTTAAAAGCATTTAAATAATTTTTTATGATAAGTGTAGGTTTTATAAGAAATCTTTCATTGATAGTAATGTATTAAAATATAAGTACATATAATAGTAAATTTTTAATAAACTCGGAAAAATAGATGTAGTTGAGAATACTCAAACAGAATTTCGTTCAAATTTTTAACTATGAATCCAAATCATTTTTTATAAAGTATTTGTAATTTACCTATAAATTTCAAATTATATTTGCAAAAAAAATATTTGTATTAGTAAAGCTGAATTAAATAGAATATAAATACATATAATAATTTTAAACTCAGAAAAAGATGTGATCGAAAATGATCAAGCAGGATTATTGATCATATTTTCACCTATAAACCCAAATCATTCTGTAAAAATATATTTTATTTTATTTAATTTAGTTTATATATAAAATATTATTTAACTCTGCAAAAAGGGGGTAATTAAAAAGACTTAAACAAGGATTTATTTGCTTTAAAAACAGTTTAGTTAGCAAGTTTTTTTCCATTTACGGAATAAATGCTATTTTTAAAAAGTTTTGCCTATTAAATTCTACATCATCTTTATTAATTGATATATTTTATAAAAAGTATAATTTTTATTTTAAAATCCAATTTGAACAAAAATAATAGATTGTCCTATAATTTGCTTCAGATCTTGTTCCAATGGGTACGTATTAGGTAGCTTTGGATGTCCAACTTGTGCATGTATTGAAGATGATTAACATTCAATTAAATGTTAAAACAATATTGTATTATATATCATACATATATTTCTATATATGTAAAATGTTAAGTGTATACACATTTTTAAAAAAATATATATATATTTAATAAACAACTGAACTAATAACTTGTATCTTTATTGAACTTGCAATAATTGTAGAAAGAAAGAAGGAAAGAAAAAAGGAAAGAAAAAAGAAAAAAAAGTAAAGAAAGAAAGAAAGAAAAATGTTTGTAATCCCTAACCTAATAAATATCAGACAATTTCGCCATGAACATTTGAACCTAATATAATTTATATTAGCTTTTCTTATTAAAGGTTAACGCTAAAATTATAAATAATTCATAAGATAGGTATTCTAAACATGATGGAATACATTTTAGGTAAAATACGATTTTTTAAATTTAAATAAAAACTCACTTAAAAAAATGATTTAAAGCGTAGTCTTTAGAAACTAAAATTACTAGACAAGGGACAGCCGGGGTTAGAACTTAAAAGACATAAGATTGAGAAGACTAGCTTTGATGAAGAGACAAGATCAGTAAACAAAAATCGAAAAAAGTTGATCAATTGTAGAATGATTGGTACAACTTAAGTGGAAGGGTGTTGTAATAATTAGTTAAACAGAAAATGTATCATTTAAATTGTGATAGTATTCAAACAAAAATAATGTTTTATAAAATTATTACGTTATTATTTAAGTCTTAGAATTATGTAAATGAGATAAAAACGCTTGATAATTGTATATATTTCATACTTTAAGGGTTTAGCAATTGGATTTATTCACTTTTTATTTTTCGCTTATAATTTTCTTAATTTTTCATCTTTTTTAATCTATTTTTGAGTTTCTTTTAAGTTTTAATTTTCTTCTTAATTTTTATTTTTTATTTTAAATTTTATTTTGTTTAATCCTTTGCAATTTATTTTTTAAGTCTTAGTATTTATAATTATGCAACAAAGTGATAGTAAATTTATTTTATTTACACGTTTATTATATATTTTAATTATTATTTTTCATTTCTTTCTATTCAAAGCTATTCTCCAATAGTTACTTCAATCTTGCTTACTACT